TAAGGGAGCAGAAAAGTGAAGGGAGTCGGATTTTTTTAGCCTATTTAAAAATCCAACATGCTGAAGGCCTAGGGCAGGAGGTGGGAGCAGCCTAGATGGGTCACCAGAGGTCAGAGGGGGTGGTGAGAAAGGGGATTTATGGGAAATACTTTCCACAATAAAGATTTTAAAATACCGGAAACCTGATGAGATAGTTGTAAGAGAAGGAGAGTTTTCTGGATGAAAAGAAAGCATTTTCAAATCCAGACGAGATGTAGGAAGAAACTCCTGCTAAAATCAGCAGCAGATCCATCTGCGAGACGTGAAGGCGGCTGCCCTGCCTGCAGGGAGCTCAAGACAAGGAAACAGCGAGCACGCACGGAGCTTGGGAAGAAGCCAGGACGATATTTCATCCAGTCTAGCCTGTGGGCTCCAGCTCGCCGAATCGGCACCTCCGGGCCGGATGGAGAGCAGTGAGGCAGGGCACAGGGAAGGCTGAGGAGTCTGCGGGCAGAGGGAGGCTTCAGGAGAGAGTCTTTCTTAGGCAGACGGGGTGACAGCCTCCAAAAGCAGAGACACCCAATGTTTTTAATTGTGATTTCCCCAGTTAAAATATATATATATATATTTTTTAAATATATATAATATCATATATATAATATAATTTATATATATTATATATAATATTATATGTTATATATAATATCATTATATATTATATTGTATATATTATATATTATCGTTATTATATATATAAAATATCGCCATGCAGTACACGCACACAGAGACATTTAACCTTGTTAAAGTATGAGGTATCCGGTGTTTCTGTTTTTCTCCTTTTTGAAGTGCTGGGTGAACCCACCGAGAGGCTGAAAACTTCCAAGGGGACCGGGAGCCCAGAGTGGAAGCAGAGCTAAGCCGCCCTGGGGGGAGGGGAGAGGGGAGATTGTCAGTGGGCTGATGGCCTCCAGAGGTATAAGTGAATTACTTTGGGATGTTATGGCAAAATAGCAGATGATCCACTTCTCACACAAAACACTTCTTACCAGAGCTGCCTTTGGACAGTAAATTGGCCAAGAAAGCTTTTTTTTTTTTTAAATTCCTTTTGATGCTTGATTTCAGTTTCGTACCACTCAGCAGGGGGATGCAGGTGGGGGAGAGAAATTTGCTTCTGGATTCTCAAGAGCAGTAACACCTGTTTTGTCTCATCTTGTGATTAGCTGTGGGATTTTGCTGTAGCATGTAGCACTGAATCCAGTAGTTTCCTAGAGGAAATAGAGGGAATGTGTCCGTGGACAGGTCTAGGAGAGGAAAGGGACGGCATCTTGAATGCCATGCTTCTGGAAGGTGCACGCTATGGTCAGTTGTGTATAGCAAGACTAATTACAAATAGAATGGACCTGGCCCAGGGCTACAGAACTCTGTGACATGACATATGCTCCCTGCTGTTACCAGAATAAAGGGGTCTGCTCACCTGCCCCCATCAAAGCCCCCTCAAATGTGAACAGAGAGTTTTATTAGTTGAGGAAATGGCACCAAGCCCGGAGTGCTAGGCAAACTGCTGCTCAAAGACCCGGCCCCCTGGAGATGGCTTCCCTGGGGTGGGCTATATGGGGGAAAGTCATTCATCATGGCGGCTAAAGGAGTGGGGCCATGCTCTCTGCTGGTTGGTTGGAGCCAGGTAGAGAGTAGCTGACCATTGTGTCTGGTCCTGATGTCAGCCATGGCGTGGGTCTGTCTGGCCTCAGGAGGAGATGATCCTTCTACTCTCATTGGCCTGAGGCTGAAACACAGCTGAAGTCTAGATGTTATCTTTCACTGGACTGAAACTCTGGTTCTGTGCCCAGCAGGCTTGAGGCTTTGTTCTTAAGACAGGTTGATACTGACCAGAATCTGATGTTCAAGGGGCTTGATGACTAAAGAAGGGAGTGGACAGGCAGAAAGGAGACAGGGTCGTGTTAAAGAGATGGAGTGACTGCCCAGTACACTGCTACTTGGCATTTCACCTGGAAGACTCAGGTTCAGAACCTGGATTCCTGGTTGGAGGTCTAATTGGGACCTTTCGTGGCTATTGCTTTGAAAGTACGTGTGAGACCGTTAAGAGTAAAACTTTCCTCTTTTCCCAACTGATGGTCTACTTTCCCCCCCAGATCTCCAGGTCTGCCCTTGTCTTCCCAATTTGTTCTGATCTGTTCTCTTGGCTCAGACTCAAAGGCCAACATGCACAGCATCATCCTTCCCCTTCTCGCTGCTTCCGCTGAGCCCATCTGTAGCACATACAGGTTGACTGGTGTTGCCAGTTATTAATTAAATCTTTGCCTTGCCTCATGCGTCTAAGAGAAAAAGGAGGTCAGATAAAAGAGAAGCATTTTTTGATCTCTTAAGGGATTTGCCATTGACCTTGTCCTCCAAAGAGTAAGAGAAGGGGGGGAATCTTTCCTGCTTGGTGCTATAGAAATTGAACTCCCTACACGCCCACATGTAACTAATTTTAAGAAATCCCTGCAATCCCATTTTCCTCTGCCCGAGTTGAGTGCACAGCGCTGAAAAGGAAAACCCTTTCATGTGGCCGTTCTTTGCTTAAGTATTTTCAGTCGTGTCCCCTGAGATTTCATAGCCTTTTGATCTTCCCAGTCCCGTTTTAATTTGGTTCGGGGAGGATTTAAAGACAGCATGAATAACGGAGCATGGGATCCTGTACGTAGGAATCATAAGTCCTCCATGTACTTCAGTAAACTCGGCTGGTTTTGTTTTGGCTTGTAAAAAACAACGCACTCTGGGGGAAATAGGCTGCGGGCTGTTTCTTGGTGTGGCTACGTCTTGGTTTTCAGCAAAGCTTCCTGTGGGACTAACAAAGGCTTGTGCCTGGAGTGGTCTCTGTATTGTGTGCCCCTCCCCTTCCAGAGAAGGCCCGATTCGTAATTGGAGATAAAACCTCATGTCTTCTTTGTGAGCAGAACCACGTTCCTACGTGGTTAGAAACGTTTAGAAAGCGTCGCATAGAGCTGCCCCGAAGCCTGGAATTCATGTTAGAAATCCAGGTCCTCAGCTGCATGAGCTACATGGTCCGTGCTTCAGGAGGCGGGTGCAGTCTTGAATTCGGGGCCGGATGCTTGTTTGTTGCGGGGAGGGTGCTGTCCTGTGCATTGAAGGATGTTTAGCAGCACCCCAGCCTCGAGATGCCAGGAGCGCCCCCTATTCATGACAATCGGGAATGTCTGCGTAGGTTGCCAAAAATCACCCCGGGCTGAGAAGCACTGCCGAGGGGTGTGATTTGGAGCAGTGCAGATATAGAATGTTTCTGTTAATGCAAACAGGACTGTTCTAGAAAAATCCCTAGCCAAGTTTGGTTTGTGGCATTTTATAGATTATGTTTTTTGAGCTCTAAGGGGGTTTGTGTGGTCATTGAGTGCAATGCCATGGGAAACTGAGGCACAGAGAGGTTTTTCTGAGTAACTTTAGGTTCATAGCATATAACTGTCCGTGTAGAGTTGTGAACTTAAAGTTCATGCAAACTTGGGGACAAACTTCTCATTTTCATTCAAGCTTATCATTCTCGCTGTGTTCTTTGTGGGGGAGAGGGAGGATTGTGAGGGATGAGGGGAGGAGTCCTGAAGATGGGAGGGTCCAGTCCTGAAACTCTCAGAGAAGTAAATTCCTGACTTGAACCCTGGGTACACCTGTGCTCCCTCTGAGGCCCCGCCTCCAGGCTGGGGACAGCTGGTAGACCCACCCCTGCTCAGTGAGAGGGGGAGCCCCATGGGGTTTCCCAGTTCCATCCTGGCAGAGAGACTGGGGACACTTCGGGGCCACAGAAGACTGTGCTCCTGCAAAATTCCCTTTTGTCAGTTTTTTAATCTCCAGGATCTCTTCCATCCCCTTCCCTGAAGGTGATCCATGGCATAGCCTTCAGTTTGGAGTTTCTGGAGATTCTTTGGAGGCGACAAGGCGCCCTGGAGACCTGTGGATAGAGAGTTGGGGAGTGAGGAGGAGGCTCTCTCGGGAGGCTGGGGTGGGGGGTTGGGGGGTGCAGGTGGCTTTAGCGACAGGGGTGAGAAAACAGGCTTTGCAGGGGGGTGTCTGGAGGTGACAAGACCTGCAGAGTGACCCATGGGCTTTGAGGTGACCCCGGATCTTTCCTCCCCTATTAATCCCACAGGCCTCACCTCTCGTGATGACTTCCTAAGGCGCCGGTTTTATCCTCTCGCTCCCCTGCTCCAGACCTTTAGGGGCCCGCTGCTTGCTGCCTTCACTTTTGAAACTTCTTGGTTGGTCTTGTACTCAAGGCCCATCTTCTAGTACATGGAGACCGTCTCTTCCCTTTGTAAGAGTGACAGCTAACTCCTTTGCTGTCTCCGTGTTGGCATAGTGCTCTGCCAGGGCTGGCTTTGCTCCCGCTCTTTGCTGTGAAGCAGCTCTCTCAGGAAGCTGCTTGTTTTTGGTGATACTGTGTTGAGTCCGTAGCCTGGACAACTGCTTAAAATCAGTACACGGCTCAAAACCCAGGGCCCGGGAAGCAGGCCGGAGAGAGTGGCATAAAAAGGCAGACAGAAAATTGCATGTATTATAACCCCTCCGATAGCCTTGAGCCGTTGGGGGTTTGGGTCTGTAATCCCGTGGGCCCAGGGAGCTGTGGGCCAGGTCAAAGGCCATTGCCCTGAGAGGCCGCTGTCAGGCTGAGCTGGGAACAAGCTAATGTGTAAGCTGGCCTGGCGGTCTCTGTACGCTGCCTCATCGCCCAGCTTCAGCTCAGACAAGTAACCTCATTGCAGAGCTGGTGACCGGCGGCTATTTCATGGAACTGCTGAGGTTTCCTTTTGGGAAGCCGGCTTTCTTGAGTGCCGCCATGGTGAAGGGGAAGGTATTTTTAAGGCGCCTGTGGGGTGGGGGGCAGAGAGGGGGAAAGAGTTTAGTGTGAGCCACAGCAGGGAAGGTTGGGAGCAGGAGGCCGCGGTGCTGCCGTTTGCACGGCCGTGGCCCCTGCTGTCGCTGACGCTGTGTCTGTCCCCTTTGCTCCTCAGACCAACGAGTGGAACAAGAACGATGACCGGCTGCTGCAGGCCGTGGAGCACGGAGATGCGGAGAAGGTGGCCTCGCTCCTGGGCAAGAAAGGGGCCAGCGCCACCAAACAGGACAGCGAGGGCAAGACCGCGTAAGCTATCGGGCGTGGTTTCTGACCGTGCGGCTCTCGGCTCTCCGAGTGCTCCCTGAGACCTCCACAGGCCCGGAGGGGCTTTGAGAAATTGCTGTCCCCAGGCCCCAGGTCACTGTGTGGAGGAGGGCATGTCAGCCCAGTTCCTTTCCTCCAGGCTCCAAGTGACACCTGGCACAGCTGTATATGCTCCGGGTATAGGCAGAGATTTCACCAGGGAAGCAAGAGCGCCAGGATGGCAACCAGCTGACGGATGGGAAATGACTTCCATCCTGGCCTAGATACAGCCTGAAAGAGAAAGAGTATTTCATAGCCGTGAAACCTTACTACTTCTGTTGTTTTTTAAACCCCTTTCTAACATAGGTCCGTAATGACATGAGTGGTAGGAATCTTGCTCGCCATAATTAAAGCTATTCGGGGTGTGTGTGTGTGTGTGTGTGTGTGTGTGTGTGTGTGTTTCTGTCCTTCCTCTGGTCCTTCAGTAGAGAAATCATTGACTTCGGAGCCACATAGACTTCTAATCTGGATTCTATCACTTACCAGTCTGCGGTCCCGGGATCTCAGTTTGCTCTCTGTAAAATGGAGATGGTGTATTCACCTCCACAGTATTTGAGTCTAAAACAAGATGCCGATGTTGGGTGGGCACCCCCAGAGCAGGCTCTGAGACAAGAATCCGAGTGCAGGTCGTTTCTCTCGCCAGCCACCCAGAAAGAGCGCAGCGAGGGGGTGAAGTGGCCTGCTGTTGGCAGCTTACTGCTAGGGCCAACTGGAATGCATTGTCACTGAGAACTTCTGGGAATCTGTTTAGACTTAGAGCAGGGGTTGGCCAACTATGTCCTGCTGTCTGTCTTTGTAAATAAAGTTTTATTGGAACGCAGCCAAGCCCATTATCGATCATCGCCCGTGGCTGCTTCTGCACTGGGAAGGCAGATGTGAGTGGTCAGACAAAGACTGTGTGGCTCCCAAAGCTGAACATGCTAACTGTCTGCTTCTTACAGAAAGAGTTTGCTCACCCCAGCTTTGAAGTGTGCCTCAGAGTCACCTCACTGAGGGGGTAAGGAAACTGGGGTAACTATTGCCACTCTCGTCCCTCCAAGGCTGAGTGCTGCTCTGAGGGACCATAGGTTTATGGCCAGAACAAATCCAAGAAGATGATTGGTGGGACACCTAGAGAGATTGGTACTGTAGGCATGAGCTAGCACAGTGCCCAGCCACAGGAGGCTCTTGATAAAGCCCGTTCCCTTTGCTTCTCAGCCTGGAGGAGAAGGTCTCAATCCTGCCACCGTTAGAATCGCCTGGGGTGCTTTAAGAAATATCGATGCCATGCCCACCCCACATGCCCTGTATCACTTGGTCTTGGAGAGGCCCAGGAATCAATACTTTATGGTGTTCAACCAGAGAGAACCAGCGTCTAGAAACTACACTGACTCTAGATGGAAGGATCAGTCGGAGAATAAAAGGCACTTTTTCCTGAGATCGGGCATCACATTTTAGCAACTTTTGCCAACTAAGCCCTCTTCCTGACACCCACTATATCCCATAGCACAGGCGCCGGCCCCGGTGTGGTGGGAGCCAAAGATAGCTCCAGGGGCCGGGCTCTGTCCAGGGACCAGGCTGGCTGTTTCGGGAAGAGCAGGGAGAAGCGTTCTCTCTCCATCACTGTCTGGTCCTCTACAAGCTGGGCTGGTCCTCAGCCAGAGCCCCAGGGTGAGCGCCCTTCCCCGGCGTTGGGTTGGCTTTGCCTTCACAGAGGCACAGGGTGCTAAACCCTGTGAACTCTGACTTGACAGCCAGGGCACCGGGTACTGGGCAGGCCTTGGTTGTTGGCTGGTGTGTTGAGCCTTTCCAGCCTTTTGTGGTTGTCATGCTTAGCCCTCTGGCTTCTAGATTAAAATTCTCTTGGTAGAAGGGATTGTCACTGTACACGGCTGTCATTACACCAGCTAGCCCACCGCTGGGCTTGTTGTAGATACCCAGAGAGTATTTGTTGAATGAGTCCATTAACCTTTTCCCACAATGCCCCACGTGGAGTCAGAGTTGTTGGATGGACAAGGGCGGAGGCCACCGTCCCGAGGTTTTGGGTGCTGGACATGGTGGTTTCGGACCCCTTCTTGCAGCATTACACAGCTTTCTTGGCTCCTCCTCCCCCACCCAGCTTTGCAAGCATCTGCACAAAACCACCTTTCACCGCTCTACCAGGGAGAGGGGAGATAGCGGTTTGTGATAGTTGAGTCTGAGACAGTACCCACTGAAATGAAAATAGAACATTTACATTAGCAGCTTAGCCACGGTTGTGACCAGCTGGATAAATGTATACCTTTTGTTAACAAGGATGTGCAGAGAGCACAGTCAGAGTGTTGTTTTCTACTCTCTCTTTTTTCTTTTTATTGTGGTAAAATACACATAACATAAACGTACCTACCACTTTAGCCATCGTATCAATTTCAGTAGCATTATATACATTTGCGATGTTGTACAACTGTTTTCATTGTCTTTTCCCAGACATTTTTCATCATCCCAAGTGAAGCCCTGCACCCATTCAGCAGTGACACTTTCCAACCTCTTTCCCCCTCCCCGTGGCAACCGCTGGTCTGCTTTCTCTCTGTGAATGTGCCTGTTCTGGGTATGTCATAGAAGTGAGACCATACAACGTGGGGCCCTTGTCTCTGGCTTCTTTCACTTAGCACAGTGGCTTCAAGGTCCATCTTTGTCGCATGAGTCACTTCTCCATCTGAGTCTCTTACAGAGCAGTTAGTTACACAAACATCACCCCTCCGTTTTGCAGACGGTAACACGAAGGCCCACCTGATACAGCCTTTGCTGCATTCACTCAGGCACCAGTGCTAGCATGTCCATCTTTGCACGCGCAAGCCTGCCATTTTCCCCTAGAACTGTGAAAAAGAGAGAAAGGAGGTTTTTTTTGTTTTGTTTTTGTTTTTTGTTTCCAGTGCACGGTTTTCCAGAGCTCATCTGTTACCATGTAATCTTTCTGCTTGGAATATTCCTTTTGACGCTGACAGTTCCTGACTGATAACTACAGGGATTTAAGTGTGAAAGGCACCACGGGGTTAAATCTGTCTGGCTTCATATTTTCTTTCAAACCTAATGGTCTTCGTGTGCAGAATGAGAGGGGCTGGAAACCCTCTCTCCTGTCCTCCAGCATCATGCCATGATGTTAGCCAGGCCAGGGGTGCTCGACAGCGGCGAGTCAGGGCCGTGTGGTCCCCAGGATGCAGCCTTCCCCTCGCACGCCGGCACGTCTGCACTGGACTCGGTGAGGCCCGTGCATCTGCCTGCCTGCGTGTCGCCTCCCTCGCTTGATCTCCTTCCTGCTGTGGAAACTGTTCTGTTCCTGTGCCTGTTCTGTCCACGTGTGCTGGTGTGGTAGCACGTGAACTGCTGACCTGCTAGCAGCGGTCCTGCATGTGTGACAGGCCAGCCCAGCATATCCCTCCCCTGGAGAGCTTGGCCCCGCGGCCCTGTGCAGCCTGCACGGCCCCATCTCATTGGGACGTGCGTGCAGTTTTTATATTTGTCTCCAGAGGACGAGGCCAGGGCAGGCACTGGGAAGTGAGGTTCGTTCTGTGACTTGGCCTCGTTCTCTGCCGGCTTATTTGGGTTCACCCTGTGATAGATCCACCTGCGTGTCAGCGTGAGGCGGAGGCTTATTTTTGGAGCCTTTGTGAGAGCCCACTTTGCTCTTTTGCTCAGCAGCGCACAGTTCCTCTGTTGCCTGACAGCCTGGAGCCCTGATGTTGGCTTTCAAGGGTCCTTCACCCCCGGCCCGGCCCCTCCTGAGCTCATGTTCGCTTGCACTTGCCTTAACTGCAGGGGATGGGGGCTGTCTGCGCCCTGCCTTCCCGCAGGTGAGACGTCCAGGCGGTGGCCCAGCTTCTCTGTCCAGTCAGAGCACCTCCCTCTCCAATGTGCTCAGTCCTATGTGGGTTTTCTTCTCTTTAAACCACTGCAATCCTGGTTTAGAGTCTGATGTATGAACAGGAGCAACAGCACAAAAGACTCAAAGCTCAGGACAGACCTTGGCTGTCTGGGAGACTTGCATCCCGCACAGCGGGGTGGGGGGCTCGCTGAGGGGCAGGCTCTCGGGGTGTCGGGGTGTCTGCAGCTGTGCTGGTCTCGTCCACTCTGCTAAGCACAGACGAGGCCTTTGGTCTGAATTTGTGGGAGTGACTTTTCAGGGTGGTTCTCTGGATAAAACACTCTCCTTTTTGCCGGGAGAAGTCTCCTGGGCCAATTCATTAGGGATGAAGTGGCTTGGGGTCCAAGAGGAAAGGAGCTGTCCTGGTGAGTGCCACAGCCGTCACTCAGTAGCCCCAGCTTCCAGTGCAATTTTTTTTAATTTAAAAAAATATATATTTTATTGATTTTTTACAGAGAGGAAGGGAGATGGATAGAGAGCTAGGAACATCTATGAGAGAGAAACATCCATCAGCTGACTCCTGCACACCCCTTCCTAGGGATGTGCCTGCAACCAAGGTACATGCCTTGACCAGAATCGAACCTGGGACCCTTGAGTCTGCAGGCCGACACTCTATCCACGGAGCCACACCGGTTAGGGCTCCAGTGCAGTTTAAACAGGAGCATGCCAGCCTTTCCTACCTAAACACCCCGTGACCCCCAAAGTCCTGGGAACGAGGCGGCCGGGGCAGCCGTGTCGGCAGACATTCCCCAGACGCCTCCCAACCCAAGGTCAGTGGCCAGATGGGCGGTTTGGTCCTTCTTCGGCCTTGGCTGTCTCTCCCTGCAGCACTGCCTTTAGGGCGGATGAGACCCCTGGCCTGGAAAGGGCCTCCCTCTAAAACTGTCGGAGAGCGGCTACAAACGCGTGAAAGCAGCCGCACGGCTGGAACTAAGGCAGGAAAAGAGGAGGAGAAGGCGGTGACTCGGGTCCGAAGGGAGTAGAGTGGAGGCGGGCAGCCAGCTGAGCTGCAGGCCGTTCATGAAGCCGGGCCTGGCTTCCCCGCCACCCGTCTGTCCGGCCC